AAGTGGTCATGCTCAGCTATCAACCTTTAATATATCAGGAGGCGCTGATTATATGACGTCATAGAGCAAACGTTGGTTACGTTGATAATGCTCAACGTTTCAAGTTGTGCTTATTATCACGAGTGAAGAGGGTTGAGGAAGGTTAAGCAAAAAGCTACACTTGAAAAATAAGACACGTAAAACAGAAGATTTTCCAAGTCTGCGCAGACACTGTTACTAAAGGACGTCACAAATAATCAGTCATCCAAGCGCCCACACCTTAACCCCGATACACGGTTCCACGCTCACGGCTGCACAAAAATGGGCCGCTGGGCCGGAGGACCACGAAGCCCCACTCTAAGCATTATACTAGACAATTGCTTATTACGATCGCCAGGCACCATGGGCATTGCCCAAGCGTCGCGAACATCTCAAGCATCTGGATTCTCACGTTCCAGCACCCAACACGCGATATAACTGTAGACTGCCCGATGCGCGGGCGGCCAAGTCGAAAGGTTTCGATGACCCGCGCGGAGGATGAGGATAGAAAGAACTTTGCAAACGGGTATCGGTGTTCGTCGCAACGAGAGCGGAGCTATTCCTAAACGTGCATATGAAGATTACGAATGCGCAGCGATTCTGTGGTCGTAATGTCCGCCTTGTCCTTACGTTTTTGCCAAAATGCATGCTTGAAGTTGGTGATAAGTGCGCTGTGGTCCATTGCCGCGTATCGCTCTACCATGTTTCTCCCTAGTAAAGGTGATGTTCTTCCCCTTCCTTGCGTCTTGTCCTTCCCCTAGTGATAGTGATGCTCTGCGTGAACGCACGCCTTCCAGATGTTCGTTAAACCGGCCACGAATGATGCGCTTATTTCGGCCACATGACTTATTCAAGGGCATAGGTTACAATGTATCTTATATACTGCAGTTTCCGCATACCTTTTCTTTTCACTCACATGTCTGCCAAGTCCTATTCCCAGCTAGACGCGTTGGGTCTAGCGTTGATCACGCCACCAATTGCGATGAGCGTATCCAGCACTTGGAGATCATGTCGTAGACCGACACACAGCAATGAAGCACAGCGAAACAAATGCCAACTTTAACAAATGAGTTTCAGCAACACCTAGACGGCGCGAACCCGCGGATCTTACGACCGCTGCGCATCCGCGATCTTCGTCCAAAAATAAATAGTCAAACGTCATCATGTGATCTGATTCGAAAGCCACTATTTGGCTGTGTATGTTAAGAAACTGATTCATATTCGTTGCGACGAACACCGGTGCCCGCTAGCAGATTTCTTCCTATCCTCAGGCTCGGTACGCGTTATTTCTTCCTATCCTCAGGCTCGGTACGCGTTATTGAAACCTTTGGACTTAGCCGTCGGCGCGTCGGGACAGTCTTTAGCAGTGCCACGTATTGGGTGCTAGAGCGTGGAAACCCAAATGCCTGAGATGTTCTCGAGGCTCGGACAATGCTCATGGTGCCTGGTGATCATAATGAGTCATTTTCTAATCTAATACTCAGTGTGGGTCATCGTAGTCTCCCGACCTAGCCGCCTATGTTTCGTGCAGCCCTTAACGTGGAACCGTGTATTGGGGTTAAGATATGGGAGCTTGTATGATTGATTATGTGTGACGCCCTTTAGTGGCAGTGTTTGCGCTGACGCGGAGCATTTCCTAGATTTAGGCGTCTTGATTTTCAACTATAATTTTTAATTTAACAGTCCTCAACCGTCTTCACTCGTGATCATAACCACAGCTTAAAACGTTGAACATTATCAATGCCACGCGTGTTTGCTCTGTGACGTCGTAAAATCAGTACTTGCTGACATATTTAAGGCCGATAACTTAGCGTAAGAACTCTGAACTCATCACGCCGAAAAATAGAGACTTAGGGCATTTGTTGCTTAACTGTACTGTAACCGATCTTTTCTCGTAACGTCGTATACATAACACGCATCTCATGTACCTGGAATACCGATAACTCGCCATAAGACCCCTAACCACATACTGCAGAAAACCCGGATCTGAAGGCCTTTCTTGCTTGCATTAGAAATTAAATGTACAGGCTACATTCTTCTTAAGGTCAGCTTAAAATGCATTATCTGTCTGACTCACGACCATTAAATGCGTTGCGTTTATTTTAACCCGGAAAACGTCACCGCCTCTCCTAATACGTTTCAGGCGAAGACAAGAAGCAGCTATAACAACCGTGCCTGCGAAGGCAAGGGACAGCAGTTCCTTGATCTGCTCAAGAGAAAAATTGAGGGTGACCCAGACGCAAAACTAAACCTCAGCGACGATGACGACACATATTCGAGCAGCACCAAAAGCGCTCACTATCCGCCAAACTTCGCCGCGCCAGGCGGATACATGTACCATAACGGCACGCCAAATCCGTACCAGGTTCCACAGAACGCACCGGAACCACATCAGGTCCACCCCGGTGTGCCAGGTCCATACCAGGTCCCACCGGGGGTGGCGGGACCTTATCAGGCCCACCCTGGTGTGCCAGGTCCGTACCAGGTCCCATCGGGGGTGCTGGGACCTTATCAGGTCTACCCCGGTGTGCCAGGTCCGTACCAGGTCCCACCGGGGGTGCTGGGACCTTATCAGGCCCACCCCGGTGCGCCAGGTCCGTACCAAGTCCCACCGGGGATACCTGGTCCATATCAGGCGCACTCCGGTGCACAGAGTCCTCACCACGTTGCCCCAGGCACCGACCCATTCTACCCGCTCCATCCGGGGGTTCCCACTCTATACCAGCACTACCCGGGCGCAGCCGGCCCCTCCCCTTTCGTCGGCTGGCCGTACGGGCCGTCGTTCGCGGCCGGTGCCGACCCGCACCAAGGCGGCCCACCAGCGGCCGGTGGGGGGCTGCTCTGCTTCCCGGCAGGCTACCCGGCCGTCAATGGACGCGGCGGCTACCACCTGAACCGCATCGAAGAGGGCGGCGACGCGACGCGGTCCGGCCCGCCGCGCGCCGGCGGACCGCCCCGTCCGCCCGGCCGCGAGCGACGCCGCCGACCGACGCACGCGAGACAGACCGACGGCGACGGCGGCGGCGGCGGCGGCGGCCCGAACGATCGGCGCGGCTCCGACAGCAGCCGGCTCTCGCTGGTCACCGCCCCAGACTCGACCACCACCGACGACGACGACACGCCCGGCCACGTGCCGCGCCGCTGCCTGCGGTGCGTGCGCGTGACCGTCGACGCTGACGACGAAGACGAGTGGCTCGAGCCGGTGCGCGAGAACCGCCACTTCCTCTCGGCCGACCGCCTCCTCGGCCACTTCAGCGACCAGTCCGGCCGACTGGCGGTGCTGATGGAGCGCAGGGCGTGGCAGCAGCCGGGCATGCGCAGGTTCCAGCGCGGCGGGGCTGTGCACTACCACGAGCGACTTCCCTCGGGCCTGCTGGCCACGGCGCGCGTCACGCCCACGCTGCTGGTCGCCGGCTGGCCGGCCGAGCTGGCGCTGGAGTGGGGCCTCCGCCGGCGGCCGCGCCTGCTCGACAAGCACCGCCCGCTGCGCTACACGTGGCCGCCGCCGCGCGTGCTGCGAACGATTCAGGACGAGGTCGGCTGCAACCTGGAGCCGCCGAGTGGCGCGCGCGGCAGCGGCCAGAACCCGCTCGGACTCGAGTGGGAGGTGGGCTTCCGGCAAGCCGAGATCAAGCTCATCAGCTCGCTGGAGCTGGTACATGTGCACTGCTGGGCGTTGGTGAAGCTATTCTTCACGCACTTTCTAGCCGAGTTCGGGTGCGTGCAGGAGCGCCACATCCGCCACCTCATGTTTTGGCAGTTCGAACACAACTTTCGGGACTGGCAGCTGGAGATGCTCGGCTCGCGGCTCTGGGGGATCCTGATGCAGCTGAAGGTGCACGTGCAGGAGCGTCAGCTGCAGCACTACTTCATCTTCAAGCGGAACATGCTGCGCAATGAGCCAATCTCCAGCATGGTCAGCGCGCAGGAGAAGATCCAGCGCGTGATGGAGAACATGCTGCCCAACTTCATCATCCTGATGAGCAGGCTCAGAGTGCGTGAAGACACCTTCCCCGCCTTCGACTGGAGAGGTCTCTACGACAACCTCAAGCTCACATCCACAGACCTCATGCGCCAGCTGGTTCCCGAGCTGGCCGGTCCCAGCGAACAGCAGGTCAGTGGGTCGCGTAAGCGTGCGACGAGGTCATGTTTCACAGCCGTCACTTATATGTGCCTGTTTTACTTCTCCACCACTGCATTAGGGCACTTCAATGCTTGTTTTGGTTGTCTCATCACGGTAAGCTCTGAGTAGTCTTACTTAAACCCATAAGCTCATGCCGGGCATTATCTCAGGAGTGTGAGCTCTGTGGTCTGAGGGGCATGCCTCGTAAGAGTTCTCCGAAGAGGATTTTTCCTCCCAAAACTGACTGGACATTTTGCTGTCGCAGCTTCCCCAAGGAAAACGCATGCCACGTTAGACAGCCCCTCCCTGACTATGATTCGTCATTCCCTAACCTCTTGGATGTAACTACACCCTCGCCTAACTTATCTCGTGCAGCCTGATCCACTCCACAGCGCCCCCCCCCCCCCCCCTCCTGAGCATGCCCGTGACAGCCGACTGACCCCCGCCCCCCCCCCCCCCCACCGACAGGACGAGCGGCGCGACTCGCTCATCTTCAACCCGCACCTCGCGTACGGCGGCGAAGACGAAGAGGACAATGTGTGGGCGCTGTCGCGGCGCCAGCAGATCGAGCAGCGCCACCGCCGCTGGCTTCAGCTGCAGCGCACGAAGCGGCAGCAGCAGCGCGAGGCGCGGCGGCGGCGGCCGAACGCGGCGCCGCCGCCGCCGCTGCCCGCCTTCGCCGCCGCCAGTGAGAAGCTGCACACGCTCGCCGACGGGTTCCAGCCCCGCACCGAGCTGGTGCTCGGCCTGTTCGTGCGTCACTTCAGTGCGATGGCGGCGCGCCTGCTCGACTTCGAGAGCGTGGAGACGGCGGTCGTCTACATCGATCACAGTCTGAATCTGTGCACGCTGCTGAGTG